TATACAATTATGCTGCACTAAATTATATAATGTTAATTATTAAACTGGAGCGATCTCCTAAATTGTGAACCTCTTCAATTGATTAATGGAAAAATGGGTTGGTTAGGCTGCAATATTGGCAAAAGCAGTAGGTAAGAGTCAAACTTTCATACTTTTACGTAATTTTACTGTAGAAGGAGTTAAATTTTTTTTTTTTGTTTTTTACCATAAGAAACATGATTAGTAAATTAGTATTTATTTGAGAATCAATCGAGAAGTCAACTTGATGATCATATATTACGTTCTACCTTGTTTTTTATAAAAAAAACATAATCACTTGACCCACGTAGAGGAATGCTGAAAAGAGTTAAACTTTAAATTTTCCTAATCAAGAAGTTGGATGTCAAATGCTGATGTTGGAAAGTTTAGATGGCTGGTTTGCTTAATCAAGCAGTTTGGATGTCAAATGCTGATGTTGGAAAGTTTAGATGGCTGGTTTGGAACCAAAAACCATCCAAATGCAAATTGGTTCCTGGAGAAAGGAACCAAAAAAGAAAAAGAACTCGAGGGAAGAGGGAAAATGAAGAGGAGGCGGCTCTCTTCTGTGACCTTGCCAGTTGGGCAAAGAAAAATCAATGGAGAAAACCCTTGACCCAAAGTGATTTATGGAGCTGACATTTTCTATGATATTTGACTGGATGTAAGCCTTTCAGAAATAGGACGCAAGAAACAGAGTGGTTCTCTCTTGTTGCTATTCACAGTGTGGCCAAGTGGAGAATTGAATGTAATTGCCAATATTGAGGAAATTGTTGGTTTTAAGTCTCAGATTTTCTTTTTTTTTTCAAAATATAAGCTTGTTAGATTCTTTTCACATAATTTTAAATAATATTTTTATAATATATAAATAATGATTAATATTTTGTATACATAATTTTTGTTGAACAGTTACATTAAATAAAAAAATTTAATTATTACTTATATAATATAAAAAAATTATCTAAAAATATGTGTAAAAAAATCTAATAACTTATATTTTGAAACAAAGATAATAAGGCCTGGGAAGCATGGGCAAGATAAGCATAAGAAATTATGAT